AAACGGTCATTCCGATTGAAAATTAAATCCGATTAAAGGGGGTGGTTTATTCCGTTCGTCATTCCGAATGAAAGAATTTTGTGTGCATGTATACACTCATTCCTCTTTAAGTTCATTCCGGTCTTTCTGCGCATGCTCGTTTCCTTGCCCTTCTGGCGCGATGACATATATAGTGCGCATAGCAACGGGCTGCATAGCAACGGGCTGAGATAGAGCAGTCGGACTCGTTGCACTCACCGGATTCCATTCGCCATAGCACGGTCTTCTATCTCCCTTCTTCGACCTTCTACCTCCCTTCTCCTCCTCAACAGATGAAGCATTAGCAGAACAAGGTTGTTGTCGTACTGCTGCTTCAAGAATATAAGCAAAACAAGCCCAAAAAAGGCACTAAGAACGGCGTCGTCAAGCATCTTGTTATCCGGAGCGAGGACTACAGTGTTTTCTTCCGGTAAACATAAACACGTAACATCCGCCCCGCCCCCTATCCAATCAGAAACCTTCCCTGCCCCAAACCTTGCACAGACCTGAATAAAGGCGATTGAACTGATCTCCCATGTAAACCCTCATTCGGAATGAATATTTCCCATGTAAACTACCTGGAAAGACTTTAATTCCGAATGATTTCATTCAGATTTATTTCATTCCGAATGAGAAGCCATCATGTAACCGTAGCCAGTGTTCTTTATCCCATGTATTTTCTTTCTTTCTTTCTTTTTTTTTTTTATTAAGATATTTTTTGGGGCGTTTTTGCCTTTAATTGATAGGACAGCTAAGTGTGAAGGGGGAGAGAGAGGGAATGATATGCAGCAGGCTCGAACCTGGGCCGCTGCTGCAACAGGCTTGTACATGGAGTGCCTGCTCTATCCACTAAGCCACCGATGCCCCTATCCCATGTATTTCCTTTTAAACTTTTTATCAGTAGAGGCTGGGTGACATATTTAGCCCCAACTGTAACCCCCTACACCAATAAATGCTTGATGCATGCTGTGCAGGTGTGTGTGTTTTTAGTGTCTCAGACATGTTCAGTTTGCCAGCTGTGGATGTTTGTAGACTGTAGGTGTTTTAAACAGTCTATATTGCTGTGAGTCATGTTGTCTTACTGTCTTAGAGTTCCTGGCGTCTTTCATGAAGTTCTCTGCCACCTTCATGTCCTCCTGCACTGAGTTGGTCTCTGTGAACTTCAGAGAGTTCAGGTGGTCCTGCACCTTCACACACATCATGTCCATCATCTGTGTCGCAGAGAGGTGAGAGGTCAGTCAGTGAACAGGTCATTTATTCAAAGGTCTGCTGTGTGTGTGTGTCTGTGTGTGTCAACCTGCTGTGTGGTGGTGGTGACTATTCCCTGCTGCAGCCTGTACGCCTGCTCCTGCAGGTATTTACGTGTCTCATGGTTCCTCAGTAGGTACTGCTCCATCTACATCAGGAAACACACCAACAAACTAAAAATTCTACTCATAATTACTGTCAGACACGTGACATCAGATAAGAAGGTATTACTCTTGACACCATACAGTGAAGGCTATAGAGTACTCTTTACAAAAACCAGGAGGGCGACCTTTAGTAAGGCATCCTCTGTCTTCTCTGGGCTTGCCTTCAGGGCCTGAGCAGCATCCATGATGGGAACAGGCATGAAACGGATGGTGTAGTTCCTGATGGGGAGCCAAATAGTAAATGATGAGATTGACTTATTCCTGAATACCAGTGTGAAGTCAGGGCACAGCATATAGCTTGCAACAAGTTTGTTTGACACGTTACCTTAACCGACTGTGCCATACTTACTTCTCCAAAGCAGCAGCGACGTCTTGTAGACCTTGAGGACTGATGTTGTTTCTGTCCCACACAACTGTCCTGTAAACGCACAGACACAAACCAAAGAGAGGGGTTTGTAGACACATCTGCTGCAGCATGTCGTGTGCAGCACACACACCAGCTACATTCCACATCTCCTATTGTTCCTCCTACATGGGATGAACATGCCTAGAAAGAATATATTTATTCCAACCAGAGAGAAAGATTGGATTTAGTGTCTACGTGGTTATTATGTGCTAATATTTTCCTATGACACAATGGCCGCGTTTCCCAGTTAAGAGTGATCTTAAGACTTAAGAGCACAGTTAAGAACGTCCTAGCTAAGAAGGGTCGCTAAGATACGAGTGTTTCCCAGATGCGTTGTTAATGCCTTTCTTAGGATCGCTCTTTAAGAAGCTCTTAAGAGGAGCTGGCCGCTACCTTGGTGCTGAAACTAAATCAATCGATGTCAGGCAAATCGATGTCAGCATAAGTCACACATAGCGCTGCTACCTAACGCACTAATTCCCTGCTGCTCGTGTGTATGTGTGTTCTAATAATTCTAATGAAAAACTAAGACGATAGATATTTGTTAATGACCTATTTTCATGACGAAAACAAGACTACATCTAAATAAGAAGTAGTCTTGGTAAGAGAATCATGAGGAAATGTATTATATTTAAACAAAAATATGAAAGATGGATGAAAGGACAAATGAACTTAAGGACCTGCATTGTATCCTGACCACATTGTATCTTACTTGCATTCATCAACGTTGTGTCTCTGCTAATGATCATCTTAACGTGACCAGTTCACAGAAGGACAAAACTGACAGATTTATGGTCTATATTAATCTACACTGAGAATCAGACAAAGCCAGGTATAAACTATGAAAACACACAGGCAGCACGCTGACAGTTGTAAAAGAGCTGGTGCACACACAAATACATTTACAAATACGGTTTGGCTTCGCACACGGTGACACTGTTGGTTAGCAGCGAGAATATGCTGTAAAGCAGCCATGGTATCTCACACATGTGTGCTGTGGCAATGCCTTTATGTAGAGTAGCGGGTGGAGCGTCCCTTGATGAGGTTCCAGCTGAGCTCAATTACACCTGTCAGTTGCCTGATATCTGTGAAATGTCGCAGCTTTGGAGGATGGATGTGTGCCCTGGCCCCTGACACATTTTTTGGATGCGGTAAACTATCTCATGTGCATGCAGATGTGGGATATGTGTGGACAAATTATGATAAATGATAGTCATGATGATTCATTTTATTTGTGTGCCTGATGTGCACAGCACATAGCCTACAGGAACACACTTGTTATTCCTCATACTTACTTTTCTTCTGCCAGATTTTGGTGCATAACTTGTGCCACAGCTTTGAGCGCACATAGGGTCTTCATAAAACATATAGATTCAAGATTCAAAGTGTTTATTGTCATATGCACAGTAAGGACATGCGTTTCCCTGCAGAATGAGATTCATTCTTTTCTGTCACCAATTAATGCTAAACAATATAAATCTGAAGTATAAAATAGATCAAAATATATACGGTGCACACTGTTTTAACGTCTCCTTGCTTAGTGTTTGTTACACAGTTGCATTGTTGGCTAGAGTTTGTTTGTGTTGTCACCGCAGCATTTACAAGCAGACTAGATGAGATGCCTTGCGTGAGAAAGCTGCTCTTGATTGTCAAAATTTCCATGCAGGAAAAATCCAGGGAGTAAACAAAACCTTGAAGAAGAGTACACTTGCAAGATAAATGTGACACTTTATAATGTCACAATGGAGGGACAACTACACGGGTTAGTGCTGGTCATTGTGTAATATATTGCTGTCATTGTTCATTTTAGTCAAACCATACAGTTTGAAAACGAGGCGCGGCTCCAACTAGAAAACAATGTTTTGATGCATTGGATGTGCTGAATGTGCATATTAAGGCAGTACAGGAGGAGGCACACATTAATAATCCTCCAGGACTGTAACATGTTCATGTTTAACCCAAACAATGTCTAATATGACTGCATTTGGTTTGGATCGCGGTCGGAACACGTTCTCACCACAAACAAACCACACCACAGCAAACGAACTTGAGTTCGAGTAAACCAAACCAAACAGGGCAGGTGTGAAAGCACTCTTAGAGTCACTTGACTCAGCTCTAACAGCTTCAGATCTTCACTTTCGTTAGTGAAGTTGGGTGCAAGATTATCCTGCCGCCTTGCTAACCTGAGTTTGGTGTTGATCTGCAGGGCTTTAGCCAGCATCTTGGCCCCCATGTCTCCCATGGCATTCCCACTGATGTCCAGTTTGGTCAGAGACGTGTTGCTGCCCAGAGCATTGAGGATGATGGAGAGGTCGGCCTTTAGCTTGGAATCAGCCAGGGACAGCGAGGTCAGTGGCTGCAGGGGAGATGGTTTTACAGGGATGTCTTTTAATGGATAATTTTATCCATTGTTATTTTAATTTGAATTTTATCAGTGTCTTATAAATGCTTCACAAAAGATGTTTAATAGCAGAGGTAACGGAAGGAGCAGGACAAAGACAGAGACCAGTATGAATGACAGGACAGGAAAGAAAAGAGATTTTGACATGATTCACTCACTGATTCCTCCTCTTGAATCATGTGAACCAGGTTGTCCAGGACCTGAGACACATTTCTGAGAGAAAATTTGAAGACAATTAAAATGTGATTAATAGGCGTGGGCGATATGGCCCTAAAATGATATCACAATATTTCAGGTTATTTTTACGATAAAAATATTCTTGACAATATGACAAATTAGTAAAAAAAAAAGGAATTTCAACAAAATAAGTGATATAGTTTTACAGTTTGCCTTCAAATATTTGGTAAAACCTGAAGAAAAATGATCTCTCATTTCTTTAGTTTTTGAACAACAGCAGTAACTCAGAGTTAGATGCAGATTTTGTATACTATATTGATAGTACAACAAAGTAAAATCTACCACAAATTACACATTTAGACAGCTCCCAAATACAAAAAATGTACCCTGGGATCTACATATATAAATCAACAGGTGCCTCCTCTTTTAGCAAAATCCTGAATGAATGTTTTTCCACCTGGACCTTTATGCTCTGCCATTTCTCCTCTAATCATCATGCTGTAACCTGTGACAGGCTGTTATGCTACCATAACTATTGCACACATATATGCAGTTTTTTGTTGAGGCACAAGCGTCACATAGATTTACATAACTCAAGGTTTATGACAAAATCAATTGACGACACATACTCCCGTGTGTGCATGGCGAGAGGGAAGAGGGAGAGACACTGTGCTGTTGCCAGAGGAGCCGCTGAATGAGTTTCCTGTGAGCTGTAAGTCGCTAGTGAATCTGAGAAGTCTGGGGCTGTTCATAAAACACTCAGTACGCCACAGTTTATTCCACACCACTAAAGCTGCTCCTCTATTTGGAACTGCTGCAGAGTCGATAATGACTTCTCTTTCAGCCATGCTTGTTGTTGCCATGGGTCACAGTATGACGTCAATGTCAACGAGTCGAAATACTGTGAGTATCATGATATGAATTTTTCATATCATAATAACAATTTTACAGATATTATCATGAATAATATAATGTCACACCCAGAGTGATTAAGTGTCAGACCAATTCATTACTACATTTTTAATAGAAAATAAAACAAACAATCCAGCCAGAGAGAGCTGGAGTATGTTTTTTGACAGTGTGTGCAGTCAGTTTGAACCCACTTGGACTTGATGTTGTTGAAGTTTTTGCCCAGTGAGAGGTGTCTGATGGAGCGGTTCTTGGCCAGCCAGACCAACAGCGTGGTCAGATCCATGTCCAGACCTGAGAAAAAGGAGCAGCACAGAAACATAAACAGGCCACTATCAAAGTCAATACAGCAACGTCATAAATGTGTCTGAAATCCAAATGTCCTCACCATTGTCAGAAATATCCAGACTGGTGATGTTGGGAATCTCAGCCACACAACCCTCCAGGATCTGAGAGCCTCCTGAACGCAGCTGAGAGCAAAAGAACGTAAGATGTCATTATACTTATATTTGTTGAAATAATATATGAGTTAAAAGAAGAAACGTATATAAAATAAAAATGCACATCATTTTGCAGCTTTTATTTTATTGAGGCTGTTTTTAATAATGAAATGCTCAATATTGGTTTGTTTATACAATCTATGTTTGCTGAGGACAAAGGACAACGGGATGATGATATATGGACTAAAGCAAAACTGTATACTGTTGTGATGATAAAAACTGAATATGGTACAGAGAATTACACTGTATATAACTTGCACAAAGGGCAAAGATTTCTCTGTACTTAGCTGAGATCTGATATTTTACCTTTAACTGTTGAAACCGGACGGTGTGTTAATATGGAAGAAGAAAAGTGGATCTGTCCAATGTGCTTTCTAAATGATACAGAAAATCATTTCTATTCTTCTCTACTGTCCTTTTTATTGACAAGTGTGTGATGCTTTCTTTAGTAAGACTCTACTCTTCCTGGGGTCCATACAAGCAAAAGTTATCTGGAGAAATTCTGGGAGAAGAGGAAAAAAGCACTTAACTGAGATAATCTGTAAATTTAATGTTTTTATTTAACCTTTATTTAACCAGAAAAACATCTAAAGGTTAAAAATCTCTTTTTCAAGAGTGTCCTAGCCGAGACAGGCAACAACATAAGTTACAGAAAGATAACAGAACAAAAATACAGAATAAAATGTACAGCTCTAAAACAAGAAATAAAAAACACACAATAAGATTACTACAAAGTGCTTTGAAATGGCCGAGAGGAACTGACTCTGAACGTACCCTCATTATGAACGGTAAAACCATGTTCTCTGAATGGAGAGCAGAGCCATTTTCATTTTTTTTGCTTAATGTACGCACATAAATATGCTGGAAGTAGGCCAAGAATAGCTTTGTAAACAAGAGAATGGCGATGAAGAAGTCTATGAAAATGTAGAGAGAGCCAGCCAACCTGAGCGTACAATATACAGTGATGAGTAAGTGGCTTACAACTGGTAATAAATCTCAATGCACCATGATACACAGAGTCCAGAGCAAGGAAACACAGCTCAGACCTGGTGCTATCACCTACAACCAAATTTATGGTCTTCCATAACTTCTTTGGGTTATTTAAATGTTTTGCGGTTCCATTTTCAAAATAAGCAGCCTTTGCTTTTTTATTGTGACTGTACATTGATAATGTAACTGCCTAAAAGCCAGCAAATCCTTAGCCCAGGCCAGGTTGCGCTCCTGCAAAACACATAGCTGGGATTATTTCTGCCTTTAACTCTGAATTTTTGGTAAGGAGCACGCTTATCAATAATTGCAGTAACACCATCAGAAATTAATTCGTAAGCAATTTCTACATCTGATATGAGCTACTTCTCCTCCACTCAATGAGGATCATGAAAAAACCTGTGCACATTAAAGTGTTTTAAATCTTGCTTCCTAATAAAATGAGGTTTAGTTGTCGAGGATTTTGTGTAGCGCACAATGGCAATAACACAGTGATCATCTGCTTCCATATTTGCAAACCATATCAGTGAATATTTATGAGGACTGTTTGTTAAAATTAGATCAATTAAAGAAGATTTGTCAGGTTGTTTTAAGTGAGGTCTTACTGGTGCTTCAACAATCTGGAAAATATTTACAGAATTGCAATATGATTTTAACTCATCAGACACAGGTTGTAACCAGTTAATATTGAAATCCCCCAGTACAACAGTCTCATTAAAAGACCGGCCAGAAAATGTATTTAGTAGTTCCTCATGTTGACAGTTGATTTGGGATATATATATATATATATTTTAATGTGCATTTTTCTTTTACTTCTCTGCATGTTTGTTTTATAGATGCAAGACTGGATAATGGTTGTAAATAAAGTAAATAAATAAATAAATAAATAGTGTTTTGTAATCCCATGTGGGATGAGGCAAAGAATTGCTGTAACACTATTTTTGCATGTTTCAGCACATTTGCTAAATGCTGAATTTGAACAGCGTTGGTGTGTTTAAACAGTACGCTGAGCTTCATGCCAGTTTTACCTCACAGCAGCTGAGATCCAGAGACACGTCACTGAGGTTTGGGTTGCAGCCGAGCCCCAACAGCAACGCTCTGCAGACAGAAAAGCCAGAGACTATTCAGATGCTCAGTTTAACAGCAGCGTACAGAAACAGCATCATTGCTGAAGCTTGATATTTAACTAAAAGGTTAAAAAACAAGTCATTCCTGTTTCTCAGACTGTGGCTGCATTGTTTTCATTTCTCTGCGCTACAATTTTGGTTGAGAAATTAATGTTTCCTTCTCTTACATGGATTTCTCCCTGATGCAAAGTGGCGACTCCATAAAGAAGCCCCCCTCTCAATGAAACACTTTGAGCTTTCAGCTAACTGTTGTAATATTGCTATGCCATAAATACAGCCAGTTATTAAAGGGAAAATTCAGTGTGTGACAGTGTAAACCAAAATTAGAGAAAATGAAACTTGTACTTAGTTCATGTCACTGAGTCTTTCACTGATTCTGTTTTGGACTACAGTAAGTGAGCTGCAGAGTGTCTTCAGGTTTCAGAGGAAATGTCCTCACTTGAGAGCCTCCAGAGGCAGCCTGGTCCCCGACAGACTGACTGAGCTCAGGGCCTGAGCGCTGCTGAAGAACTGCTTAAAGGACGATGGGATTTCTTTACACTTCCTGAGTGGGTGTGAGGAGAGACGGGTTAAAATCCACACTATATAGTACACTGTACAACTCAAACTGTTGGTTCACTTAATCAAACATTTAAACTTTAGATTATGTATCTGTAACATTACTAGAAATGTTCATGAGTGGGTGTGAGTTTAATATTTGACCTGTGAGAGAAGACGGACTTTGACATGTTAAGGACAGAAAGATACTTCAAAGATCCTCTGAGCAGAGACGAACACACCTAAAAACACACAAAAACACAACTCAACTTAATGTGACAGTTCATACAAAAATAAACATATATATTATTCCTCTTACCTGTAGTGCTGTTAATCAGTCTAGATAGTTTTGGTGTGAGTTGCTAAGTGTTGGAGATATTGGCCGCAGAGATGTCTGCCTTCTCTCCAATATAATGCAGCTAGAGGGCACTCAGCTTGTGGTACTCAAAACACCAAAAAATACTTTTGAAAAACTCAACAGCAATGTCTCTTAAGATAATCCACAGACCTTGTTGTGAGCAGTGTCATGTAGGAACTATTTTCTTTCTACCAAACTACACCCACCAACTGTATCACCACACAGAAGAAGGGTGGAGGACGACAGTGTTAACGTTTACATCTTGCGCTGTCACAAGCACGACCCTATCATCCATGAGTTCTGAGTTGTTGAGTTCTTTAAATGTATTTCTTCAAGCAAGTGCCATCTAGTTCCATTATATTGAAGAGAAGGCAGACATTTCTACAGCCAATATCTCCAACATTCAGCAACTTACACCAAAACTATAGAGATTGATAAACAGCACTACAGGTAATTGGGGGTGATCTGTCCCTTCAACCTCTTATAGAATGTGTAGACATGGTGTTATTTACTTTGCCCTATTATTCCAACCAAACTAAGCAGTGCAGACAGATGTACATTTTTGAAATGTTAAACTTGTTTTTACATCAACCCCTCAAAGTAGGTCTGCTCCATTATGACAAAGATCATTGTCACGATTATTTAACACCATTACTGACTTCGCAAACATCATGTATTCAAAGAACTTAAAAAAAACCAAACAAACAGTGGATGTGCTTAAACTTTAATGTAAACTGAAACACAAATTAAAAAAAACAAATGTAAAAAAAAAAAGAAAGACAAATGAAATAATATAAACATAACATGAAGAGGAGAGACACTGTGCTATTGATGGGAGAGCCGTGGAGACTGTGATTACTCTGAGCAGCATGCATGGTAATGAATTGCATTTATATGTGAACATAGTTGGCAACACTGAGGACACTGCTGTAAAGGAAAGGGGTACGCTGGATTTATAACACAAGGCAAAACGAGCATCATTGCAAAACGGAACATGGCACAATAATCGTTTTATCTGGGTTACCTTGTATTCATAATGGTTGGAAGCCTAAATTGTAATTGAAAATAAAATTCAATTAATCATCATCTATAAACTTAAAATGTGTGTTAGACTTTGTCTGTATGTGTATGAGCTGCTGTTACCTGCTCCAGAGAGCAGTCACTGTTGGACAGATCCAGAGTCTCCAGGCAGTTTGGGTGACTCAGGAAGCTGTGCAGGTTCTGTGAAGGAAAAAACAAATTAGACATCTACGCAAACACATCACTGCTGTAAGATGAAAACCTTAGATCTCCAAACTGTTCAAAAACACAAACTTGACTGTATCTTGAGTGCTGTCTATCTATAATTTTGTCCTGTGTTTTCTGAAATGCTGAAATAAACTCTAGGGTTGCAGTGGGGTGTGACAGAAGGAGGGGAGGAGGCTGCGTACCGGCAGGTCGTCGCCTCTGAGCGAGTTTCCTGACAGGTCGAGGTGTGCGAGGGTGGAGGTGATGACTGGGTTGTTACAGAGTGCCTGACAGAGGCTGTTCACTCCTGCAGGAAACCACAAACTGTCTCCTGAAAAAAAAATACTCAGGATAATACTGAAGAACATTTTTGTTTTGTTTGTGTGTTCACCTTTAGGAGACATGGAGGTCCTGGAGAGGTTCAGGGACTTGAGGCCCATTGGCAGTTTGGCGAGTTGAGCACTCAGAGCAGAAACACCTGTAACACACATCCAGTCATTGAAGTTATCAGACTTCATAAAGTTGAGGGGCTCCAACGTGGCCACCAGAGGGTGCATGACTTCAACTAAGAGCCCCCTCAGGGTGTCTACAGATAAAACCAAATTAAATTTCAGACTTTTTAAAGACCTTTTTAATACCACTTTGTATGAAATTTAAGACCAAACCTGCAATGAAAACACATGTATCTCACATATTATATATATATATATATAAATACATATCTAGTGTTGGCATTCAGCCAAAAGTTGTCCAGAGGTCAGATGATGCTGTTGTGGGCTGTTGATTCCCAACATCTGTGGTGACATCTTTGCTAGTAGTAGTGGAAAGACTAGAGTAGAAACGTTAGATTTCAGCATGCTGGTGGGCTCTCGTGCACTCCCTGTGCTTCCCACTCCATATGTGTGATTCCACAGCTTTGATGCCCATTGTATCGAGTTTAAAACATCTCAGAGAAACTGCACAGCTTGCCTCATAGACATTTCCTGGCACCCGCTTTAACCACCATGAGAACTCATCATTCTCAAGCCTTTTTTCATTAAACTTGCATCTACCCACTTCAAGAATCTGAACAGGTAGCTGTTGTTCGACCTGTATTCTGCTACTTCAATCCTCTCTGATGACAAAATACTGCTGGAAAAAAAATATTTTTCTTCGGTCTGTCCAATGATTGTAACCAGTCATTAGGTCTGTCAGGCTGGAGAAATTTTCACAGTAATGTGACCGAAAATATTAATATTAATTAAAATATTAAGAAAACTTAATTTAATTCATTTGACACTTTTTATGGACCTTTAAGCCCCTTTTCCACCGAGCTTTACGGTACGGTTCAGTTTGGTATGCTTTTTTCCGTTTCCACTGCTAAAAGTTTAGGATGGCACCAATGAAACCGTTCCATGACCATTTCTGGTACCCCTTCTGTTGGGGTACCTAGCACACAGATCTAGTACTAAAAGGTGGAGCTGTGAACACTGCAGTCCGTTGATTGGTCAATAGCAGACATTCACTCTGCTCAGGGCTGAGTTGTGGCTGGTTTTGAGGCTCATGTAACTACTGTTCATACTGTGGAAAGTTTTATCAGTAAACTGTAACTATAAAATGAAAGGATTGTTTTGCTGCCTCTTGCAGCAGCTGGAGTCAGAGAAAAAAAATAACTTCATTCACTGGGCCAACTGCTGGCGACTTTTAAGATGGAACATTTACTTGTAATGTTACTCAATGCATGAGTTGACGACATGAATCAATCAACACACCTTAAATATTCCATATGACAACTTTGACCATCACTTTAGTTTTTATATGACATGCACTTCTAGCAATGAGTGAGTGTTCAAGCGTTTATATATATTCTTTCTGGATGTCACTAACTCGGCTTCTTCTCCGGAGCCTTTGTGCTCCACTGTCTCTCAGATTAACTCATATCGCAGCGGTGCCTGGACAGCGTGACGTGTGTGGTTGTGCTGCTGCTGTGGTCCTGCCAGATGCCTCCTGCTGCTACTGCCATCATTAGTCATTAGTCATACTTCTACTGTTATTATACACATATGACTATTGTCACACATGTATACTGCCAGATATTAATACATACTTTCAACATATTGTACCACAGTAGCCAGAACTATAACTATAATATTATTACTTTCAATAATGTTGTTGTAACCTACTGTCATTACCTGCATCTCTCTCTCTGTCTCTCTCTCTCTCTCATTGTGTCATGCGGATTACTGTTAATTTATTATGCTGATCTGTTCGGTACGACATCTATTGCACGTCTGTCCGTCCTGGAAGAGGGATCCCTCCTCAGTTGCTCTTCCTGAGGTTTCTACCGTTTTTTTTCCCCCGTTAAAGGGTTTTTTTTGGGGAGTTTTTCCTTATCCGCTGCGAGGGTCTTAAGGACAGAGGGATGTTGTATGCTGTAAAGCCCTGTAAGGCAAATTGTGATTTGTGATATTGGGCTTTATAAATAAAATTGATTGATTGATTGATTGATATATGAATTTCGGCCGGGTTATCTGAACTGCATATATTCTGTTCCTCACTCTGAGACAAAAAGGGTCGCATAGCGTCGGGCAACGGCAACACTGAACCCCTGAGCTTGCCGGAGAGGGACTAAATGCACAAACCCACTATTTTTAAATATCCGATGGAGAGAGACTTTCACTGCAGCCTGTTTTATTTTGTTCTGAAAATGTCGGCATGCAGCCTCGTTCTGTGGACGATAACAGGGTGCAGACTTCCATCTGTGTCACCGATAATGAGGAAATACAGCGAGTGCTGGATGGAGCAGTGAGTGACAACAATCTCGCCCACATTCTGGTCGACAGCTGCCTCGATTAGTTAATTATGTTGTGTTCTTGTGTGACTTTGGTGTTTTAAAGGGTTAGTTCAGAATCACCAAAGACACACAATAAAACAAATTAATTGATCTGGTCAGCAGTAGACCACCTTAATGTAATTATTAAATTATATATTTGGGCGGGGCAACACAATAGTTTGAGCTGAAAGTGTGTGAAAGAATAGTATCAGTAACACTGTTAACACTCTGCTACATCACAGGGAAATACAAAACCGTACTAATGAATCTTCATTAATATAGGCCTATATTTTATCTACAAGTGCACGTCACACACTGAGCGAGCCGCCTGTTAATGACGCTGTCTGCAAAGCAGTAATGATTGTGCTAAGTGGCTAATGGGCATGTAGCTACTTCCATGTTTCGGATGACACGTCATGTTTGTAGTCGACCAATGAAGATGAGTTTACATATCACCTTGGGTTCATCCTTCACCTTCTCAAAATGATCCCACACTTTGAATTTCCTGCCTGACATGTTATTAACTAGCCTGTGGAATAACAGCAGGTACCAGCCCTGGAAATTAACATGACTCCTGTCTGACTGCTGAATGTGGCCACTTCCAGTGTCTGTCCTTTCAAAATGAATTCCCACATGGTCCAATCATATAGGTTTAGGCACAGCTCCTAACAGAGTTTCACATGTGTTTTTTTTCTGCAACTAATTGACTAATGAAATCTTGCCAACTGAAGAACTTTCTGTTCGACTAACGTTTGGTCAACTGTTAGGGGGCAGCCCTAGTACACTTAAACTGAAATAATTTTTTTAGGTGGCTTAAATATGTTTTACTGCTGTCCTTGACCACAGCAGTACAATGCTTAGCTTCCATGTGAGACTCCAGCCTGCTTCTCCAAAGTGGTAACATGCCGACTAGGGCTGCACGATATTGGAAAAAACTGCCATTGCGATTTTTTTTATTTATTTTTTTGCAATATATATTGCGGTATTTAAAAATACAGGAATTTTCACCAGATGACTTAAACTAAGAAAATTAAAAAATAGTGGCGGGGCTTTTACTCACCACAACTGCAGAGGCTGCCAGCTTCATTTGAAACAGACTACACTATAAAAGGGCCGTTATTTATTAATCCCTCTGTATCTTTATATTTTTACTTTTATCCACTTCCGTTGCCTTGATAAAGTTAATGCATCGTGCCGTCATTTTAAACTCAACACTTTACTTCACCTGAATTTGTTTCAAATTAAAGGCCCCTTATAACCTCGGCTGAGAGAATCCTTCCATTTTCTAAATAGGCTTTTATTGTGAAACATTTGTAGGAACTTGTGGAGGATTCAGTGACTTGTATGTTTATGTACGGTACTTCAAATGTAGCTCCTGCCATCTGCTGGCGCTTTTAGGTGACTACAACAACATTTTGGCTGGCACATGAACAGACACAGTGACTGAAATAATAGTAAAAGTAATAAAAACAGGTCAAGAATAACCCGATGACATCACACACGTTGTGAGAGAGGACCAGGGATAATTGGTGAGTACCATCGTGTAGTGTGTCATGTCTGTCGGCCAAGTTTGATTGTGATTCCACAATTGTGTAATGTGACATAGTGACTTTCAGAACGGGCAGAAAAGTCGTGTAGTGTGTACCAGGCATAAATCCTCCTTTACCGTTTCTCCCTCTTGCATGTCGCTCATTTTCAGATTGTGACTGCAGCGTGTGCATGAGAGGGGGAGCAGTTGCTGAGTGTTCAGAGAGGCGAGTGGAGCGAGCAAGGAGCTCTCTTCAGAGCTGCTTTTCTGAAGCAAAACAAAAGTTTACATGTTCTAAAGAAAGAGAAAGGCAGCCCTAATGCTGACTGACATCTTCTCTGGGTAATACACCGACTGTGGACAAGTGCTTCCTACAAACCCTCTTCAAAAGATCAGAACAATCCCTTTAACAGAATCAGAGATCTGCATGTTTTAAAAGCGATAAGGTTACACAATAAGAACAGCATGCAGTGTGAGTGTGTTTTAACCTTTGTCCTCCAATGAGTTGTTGCTCAGGTTGAGTGTGTGCAGTGTGGAGGCGGGGTTGTGTGACAGAGCGCTGGCCATTTTCTGAGCAAAATCACTGAAGAGAAGAAACAAAACGACACAATCAGTGACAATGTTTATAGAGTGTTTAAGGTTGTCAAACTCGACGACCTCTCACCTTTCATCAAGCTAACAAACATCTGATATCTTGAATGGACTTTGTGTCCTGCTGACAAACACTTAATTTAATGTTATTTGACTTTGATTCTGAGAATGCATTGATCAGGTTTCTTAGAAAACGCATCCAGTGAGATTAATGCACATGGACATCAGCTCTTTTGTTTGAACCTTCTCAGTCCAGCGTTGTCCAGCACCAGCTCCTCCAGCCGGCTGGATCGAGCCACCACTCTGAAGATCTGCTCGCACACATCGGTTGACTGAAAGGCAGAAACACACATCACACACACAGGCCTTTGATTTTATTTGATCTCAGTGAGATTTTCAAGAGGCAAAAACACAATTAGCTTAATATACACTGTATTGCCAGGGATTTTTTGTTTAATTGATTGGAGGTCATAGTTCACTCAGCAGTTGAGAATTTTTCGCGTCCCATCTGATCATATTTAATGGTTTCTACTAATGTTGTCATGATACCAGAATTTTAAACTTTAAAACAATACCTGTATAAAAAAACGATACCGAATACCTCTTTCGAAACCACAGTGAAAAGAAACAAGAATTACCGCCTCTGCGGCTGCACCAGTTTACATCTCTCACAGTTTACATCCATGTCTGCGAAAAAGTGGATGCTTCACACACAGATCTATACAATCAGCACATTTTATCCAATTAGACATTTGTGTGAAGTTCTGTCATAATTAGAATTTGAATTCTTGAATTATAGCCAAAAACATATTTCGTGAGGTCACACTGACCTTGAGCTTTTATCTTTGGCCACCAAATTGTAATCAGCTTATTCTTTAGCCCAAGTGGATGTTTGTACCAAAGAAATTTCATTAAGATGTTCTTGAGATATTATGTTCACAAGAATGGGACAGGCGGATGGATGGCTAACACTGGCAAGGGCATAAAAAATCCTAAGCACACACAACAGTAAAATCTGTTTTTCTTCTTTTTTTTGAATCAAGAACCTGCACACAGTGCTGGTACAGAAAAAGTCGCTGAACACATACCAACACATTTGTAATATATTAGCCTTGGGTACTTTCAGTTACTATTGAATGTATAATTAAAGGAGATTGCATCGTTTTAAACGCCTATCAAAAATTAACTAAGTATCAATACTTTAGACAACCTTAGCTTTTTAATTTCACCTTTTTTTCAAATAAAAAACAGACAGAGAGCAGAGTTGTTTGTATCAGTGTTACCAGTTTGTAGTCTTTGGCGGAGAGTTTAGTAAACCACTGGTTGTACTCTAGAGCTGCGATGATCGCCACCAGGTCCCTGCAGAAAGAAAAACAAAACAGTTACAGCTGTCAGACATTATATCCTGGAGTAGCAATACGAATAAACTTTTTTTATGCTGATTTTTTCATAAAGTGTCGTTTAGTGATGTTTAAAACACAATGTTAGAGCCATTTTTTGTATCTGTGTCCAATGATGTGTGGGTCACTGGTTTCCACAGTAGGTGGCGTGTAAACAATGGTGTCTGTGAAGGTACAAGTAGAGGAAGAGTTAATTACTCTACAGGTGTGCTGCTTACCGGGAGAAGCACACAGTTTTTTGACCGCCGTTTAGTGGCCTAACTTTGAGCCTTTTGTTTGTTTTACATACAAGTTATAATGTTGTAAGTGTGTGCAGATCGACAAAGTCTATATTGTTAAATGGTTCGATAAAATAAATACACAATAAACGATCTATGTTGGAGCAACTGCATGGACGCTGATTCATTCAATGGAGCCGGCACAGACGACGCGTCAATTAGGCTACAAGTCCTGGTAGCAGCCCCTCAGTGGCTTAGGTTTTTTGTTTTGTAGAAATCAAGTCATTACACACAATAACAATCAAACACAAAACAACACAGATTAAAATCTTTAATAAAATGTTTTGTATGATGTGTTGGTAAAACCAAATGATGCATACCAGAGGGTAAAATTGTTAGTCATCACCTTGGTCAGAATCATAGTTAAATTCGCATGATTACATACCTGTTCTCCAGATGGATGAAATCCTGCAGGTTGAGCTCTCTGGTATCCTGAGTGAGATAGATGGTGTCCACATCCTGCAGGAGGGGAAGGTGACAACAGGTAAGATGAGAGGAAACAGCTCAGAATTTTACACATCTCAAATCAACAGCAGCAAAAAAGAATAAAAAAAAAGACAATTAAAGCACAGATGGAGTTAAACTGGTGCAGCAACTGTCACAGAAAAAGTAGCAGCGAAAGGAAAGGTGAGAAACAAAAAAAGAAACACAAGCAGATGAATAAAAAAAGAAGCAGAGGAACACAGGAGGACAAACTGAAGAAAATACATCACATGAGGAAGCAACAGAAACCCACACAGGGACACGAATATTAGAAACATAGGTAAAAATTTTGCGGAAAAAGAAGTTGTTGTAGCAAGGAAAAAACCTGGCAGTGTATCAAAAAAAAGTGTAAAAAAAAACAGCAAAAATCTCTTACTGCTGAAAAAACAGGAGACAGAACAAAATACATGAATAAAACAGAATAATGATTTCAGTGTAGAGCACAGACCCATTGGACCTCCTCTCTGTACGGTAGACCTAGGTGATCACACACACACCAGTACTGATGAGAAAAACCACCTGAAAAGAGTCAAGACAACAACTTTTAAAACTTAAATACAGTTTAAACATTTCACTGAACACATTTTTAACATTTTGGGGATTTACCGCAGGGTCCCAGATCTGCTGAGCCCTGTTCATCCCACAAGGCCTGGAGGGCCGCTGTTCTCTCTGGAGGCTTCAGACTCAACTTCCTCATCAACTTTCTTCCTTACAGAAAGAGGGAGGGAGAAGAAATAATAATAATAATAAAAAAAAAATTGTTAACTTTTAAGAACCTCTTAAATCTCAGAGAGGGAATCTTTGTGTATCTTCTCCTCTCACACAGGTTTCACAGACAAATAGATAGGAGAAGCATGGAAGCAGTGTCCAGAGAAAATCAGTAAAACTTACACAGGATATTTTTTTATTATCTGGCTTCACTAACCCATCACACTGGCTGTCTGGATAACCGTACTACGATGCTGATCATCAACTAGTTCAGTCAACTCTGTGTTTTCCTATCCAGCCACAAGCCCGTTCATATGAAAGAGGTGGGGGTGTTAATTGCGAGCTACATCATCAGAACCATGAATGAAGTACTTCATATCATATGACATGAAACGCTGAAGTACTTACCTGCAGGGACATTTTATCTATGGACCTTTATAGTTATTGGTGTGAAATGTAAATGATAGCCTGTAATCTTATAACAGAAGATGTAGAAACACTGAAAATAAATTTTCAAACTATTTAAAATCGTCCAAGATTCAAAATATGTGTAGGCATTATTATTATATATGAAATTAGTATAGAGTGAGTATTTTTGGCTATTTCGTTCGATGATGACGAAACTACTCTGAATGTGTCACATAAAACACTTGGAAATGATGCCAGACTGTTTCTGCTACATAAGTAAAGGGCAGAAAAGTCGCCTAGTATTTATAATAACAGGAGCCAATTAAGGTGTGTGGATTATTTAATCTTTTTTTCCCTAGTTCTCATCATGTTATTTTGAGCTGCAGTAATGGAATCAGAGTATAACTAGAATAACTGCCCCACAGTTGTTTGCCTCTGCATACCAGTCAAGTTTCACTCACAGTTTACATCCATGTCTGTGAAAACATGGATGCTTCACACTAGGGCCGTAACGGTACATGCATTTGTGTCCAACCGTTCGGTACGCGACTTTCGGTTCGGCACGACCCTGTACCGAATTATTGGGCGCAGGATATTATTTTATTTTATTTTGTTTTATTTTAATTCCGTTTTTGCGAGCCGAACCATTTAAAATATCTAGTTCCCCGACGGACATAATTGAGTGACGGACCGAGTCCGACCATAAATCTCCGCTTTCACTTTGTGCAGCGCATTCTCACATTTTGACAACATGGCAAGTGAGTCTGACGAACCTGAAGACCCACCCGCAAACCTTAAGTCCTCCGTTTGGGAACACTTTGGTTTCAGGGTAAAATACGAAGATGGAAATAAACATGTTGACAAGACAAAAGCAGTGTGCCGACACTGCAGAACAGCGGTCGGGTATGTACTTGGAAACACGTCTAACATGCTAACGCATCTAAAGCAACACCACCCAAGTTTGAACGTTAACCGGCACGACTAGAAAAAGCAATATGGTGCAAACTACGATATCGTCGTTGTTTAAAAAGAAAGAGCCTTTCTCTGACCATCGCGCTAAAGAAATAACCAACGCCATTGGAGTTGAGTAAAATTGTTTAAGCTGCACTTTAGATATAAGCATGTTTTGTTTACTGCACTTTAACAAAGTGGGAAAGCTAAGTAAGTTCCTAGTAAAACTGAATCTGAGCAGGCTTTAAAGCTGACCAGCTGCACTATACTTTTTATTTTAATTGAGTAAAACTGTTTAAGCAGAAATTTATATTTATGTTTTTCATTCAAAAAATGTGTTAAAAAAACAGCAGGATTTTATTTTTCACTTTTATATTTCTATTTTCATTCAAACAATGTGAAAAAGCAGGATTTTATATATATTTGTTTCATTCAAAAATTGTGTAAAAAGAGTTAACTGCTGTGGTGGTATGTTTTAATAAGGTTACCAATAAGTAAAAGATATTTAATAGTTGTCTATTTTTTTCATTACTGTACTGAAAAAAAACCCCGAACCGTTACTTGTGTACCGAGGTACGTACCGAACCATGATTTTTGTGTACCGTTACACCCCTACTTCACACACATCTTCCCCCCCAACAGCACAGAAGATCTATACAATCAGCACAGTTTAACCATTAGTGTCGCCAATTCAGTACCTAACCAAATGTGTCCCCCTCTGTTCGTGAGATATGACGTTGAGTATTGGCTTTTTTTATGACGTCACAGTGAAGTTGACCTTCATCTTTTTATCCTATTAGACATTTGTGTGAAGTTTTGTGATTTTTTTTTTGCATACAAATTCTTAAGTTATGGCCAAAATCATGTTTTGTGAGCTCACAGTAACCTTGTCCTTTTACCTTCAACCACAAATTTCGAATCAGTTTACTCTCCAGTCAAAGAGGACATTTGTGACAAGTTTAAAGAAATTCCATTGAGGCAAGAGTAAGACAGACAAGGTCACAATGACCTTGACCTTTGACTTATGATCACCAAAAACTAATTAGTTAAAAGCGGACATTTGTGCCTAAGAAGAAGAAAAAATGTTCTCAAGCTGCTCTTGAAATATTGCATTCACGAGAATTAGATGGACTCAAGGTCAGTTACCTTGACCTTTGACCCTTAAACAACAAAATCAAAACAAAATACGTACATATGGACGTATGTCATATGTACAGATGTACTGATGTACTGATGGACAAACCGTAAACATAATGCCTCCAGCCACAGCTACCACCAGCGCAGAGGCATAAAGATAGCAACACTATCACTGCAGACTAAAATAAAGTTTGCATAAGTTAAAATCCTGCTAAAATCACATGTTTAGTGTTGTAAACAATCCTTCTGTCAGAAGCTCTATTTTAAAACCAGTGGAAATAGAGCTCTGGAACAATTAAATGATTCTACAGACCTATAATAATATATAGGCAACTCTTTTTTACCTTAAACTCCGGACTTTTGTCCATGTCAGGACACATTTTTCTTCAATAATCTGATTGGTCAGAGGTCGGGGTGTTGACGGGCTGTGATCCAATACTCTGACCATAAGTTAAGCTGTTAAAGCTGACACGGTGATTTATCTCTGTACAAAGAGAACCAGCTTCGTAGTACTAAAATCCCAAAGTTAATTCTGAAGTTACTTCACTAGCTCAAAATCCTGCTTCATAGTACAGGACACTGAAAGCAGCAAAACTTCACGTCCATACCTTCCTTCTTTTATGTCTTTTTTCAATTCTAAGTTCTCCTTTGTTTCACTTAATGCTAGGGGTCTAAGAGATTCTATTAAAAGAAAATCAACCTTCCTTTTTTGCAAAAATGAAAAAGTGCAATGTTATCTCCTGCAAGACACATTCAAATGACATAGATGAAAAATTTTGGTCAAATCAATGGGGTGTAAAAAAATTCTCTTTAGTTATGGCACAAATAGATCCGCAGGTGTCGCCATACTATTAAACAACTTCCCCGGGAAAGTTTTGATTACAAATAGAGACCCTTTAGGTCACTGGATACTATGTGTCCTTGAAGCTAATGATGACTTTCTGACTCTAGGAAACATTTATGGGTATAATAACCCTAACCGAAACAAAAGTATGTTTTCTGAAATTACAAAAACAATTAAGGCCCTATGTCAAAGGTATCCTCCTGAAAACCTTATTTTTAGTGGTGATTACAACATGATGTTGGACGAATGGCTTGATAGATCTCCATTCAAATACCAGAGACACTTTTACAATCCTGTGTTACTTGATTTTTGTAGTGTGTTTAACCTAAAAGATGTATGGCGATCTGATGATCCTGATACCCAAATCTACACATGGTTCAAACCTGATGGCTCAGTCAAATCCAGAATTGATTTTTGGTTAGTGTCAGATAATAGGCCTGGGCTGGATCCAACTTCCACAATTTCTGCTGCACCTTTAACAGATCACTGTTTGATTAAACTTAATTTTATGTCCACAAACAAACACTTTAAAAAAGGTTTTGGGAAATTTAATTCAAACCTCCTGAAAAGTGAGCGTTTCTGCCAAGAAATTATTACAACGGTCAATAATATAACCACAGATTCAAACCTCGAAAACTTATAGAAACAAATGGGAGTATCTAAAATACAAAGTACGCCAGATTTCTATTTCAAATAGCAAAATATTGAGCAGGGAAAGTAAGGACAAAAAGATGGAAATCATCACAGAAATAACTGGTATCTGTAATAAATCCTCTCTAAGTGAGAACAGCCAACAAAAACTTATACTCTTACAATCTTCATTGTCAACATCAACATTTATCTATCTAAAGCCAAAGGAGCATATATTAGATCAAGAGCGAAATGGATAGAAGAGGGAGAGAGGAGTTCTGCGTACTTTTGTAGATTGGAAAAAAGGAGACAAGAACGAAATGCAATAAGAACACTACTGATAGATAATCAAGAATGTACTGACCCAGATTTAATTTCTAAGGAAATCTTTAAATTGTACAGTGAACTGTACTCCTCCTCCTATTCATCCTCAGATGCTGATGCTTTCTTTGAGCATATTAAAAAGTGGATCCCCAGAATTGATGAGTGTTTCAAAAGCATATACGAGGCTGAGATAAGTATGGACGAACTGGAAAAAGCCATGAAATGTTTAACATTAGACAAATCCCCAGGTTCAGATGGTCTAACAAGCAACTTCTATAGACATTTCTGGGTACATCTTAAAAACCTAATTTTTTGTATGTTAAAAGAAATATCTGAATCTCCCTCTCACATTCTTCCAACTACTATGAAGCAGGGGTTGATCACACTCATCCCTAAGCCTGGTAAAAATTCCAAATTAATTGACAATCTTAGACCCATAACCTTGCTCAATACTGATTATAAAATTTTAACACACATTTATGCAAACAGACTGAAATCTGGTATCACACAAATTACCTCAGATACACAATCTGGTTTTATTAAAGGGCGATCAATTCATAATAATATACGGCTTGTGCTTGACCTGCTGGAATACAACCATCTAATTGAAGAAGAAGGTTTTATTTTATTTTTAGATTTTTTTTTAAAGCGTTCAGTACAGTCAAACATAAGTTTATTTTTAGCACCTTAGAACTATTTGATTTGGAGAAAACTTTATGAACATGATTAAACTTCTTTATAGTACAGTCATACTATCAAACATCAATCAATCAATTTTATGTATAAAGCCCAATATCACAAATCACAGTTTGCCTCACAGGGCTTTACAGCATACGACAATCCTCTGTCCTTAGGACCCTCACAGCGGATAAGGAAAAACTCCCCCAAAAAAACCCTTTAACGGGGAAAAAAACGGTAGAAACTTCAGGAAGAGCAACTGAGGAGGGATCCCTCTTCCAGGACGGACAGACGTGCAATAGATGTCGTACAGAACAGATCAACATGATACATTAACAGTAATCTGTATGACACAATGAGACAGAAACAGAGACAGAGACAGAGAGAGATGCAGGACAGACGGCAATGATAATAGCTTACAACAACATTAATGAAAGTAATAATATAATATAATATAATATAATATAATATAATACTACCACAAGGAACATGTCCTAGATTCTCAGTTAATAAAGGAATTAAGCAAGGACGTTCCATCTCTCCCTTATTATTTATCGCAGCAGCAGAAATGCTTTCAATTCTTATAAAAAACACAGATTTTGAAAATTTGACTGTGTTAGGCAAACAACTGGCAATTAGCCAACTGGCTGACAACACAACCACATTCATGAAAAATACTGAATAAATCCCCAAAGTCCTCAATACAATTAATTTCTTTTCCAAGGCATCTGGTTTAAAATTAAACCTTAAAAAATTTGAATTATTACTAATTTATATTTCCCCTCTAACAACAATTCATAATATCCCTGTTAAATCAACCGTTAAATACTTAGGCATACACATTACTAAGGACATTAACACTCTAGATAACCTCAACATTTGGAATACTTTAGATAAATGTAGAACATATGTGGTCCCAAAGAGACATCTCTATTATTGGTCGAATTTTCCTCACAAAAATGGAATGCCTCTCAAGATTCATTTACCCAGCCTATTCGCTATCACTCTCTAAAAGTGCAATAAAGACTATAAACCAAGCAAACTTCAATTATATATGGAACAGGAAAACACACTACATCAGAAAAGGAATTATGGTTAAAGGATATGAGGACGGAGGTCTGAAAGCCATCGATATTGATTGTATTAATGGCACCATTAAAATTAATTGGCTTAGATCCTTGTTAAGAGATGAAAATAGCCAATGGTTTCACATCCCAAACCATATTTTTATGAGTTTAGGAGGCATTAACTTTCTCCTTAGATGTGCCTTTGATCTTAAAAGGCTCCCCATCAAATTATCTGCCTTCCATCAACAGGTTTTACTATACTGGAAAATGATTTTCAAGCATAATTTTAGTCCTCATAACACCCCACTATGGAATGCAATGCAGGTATGTCTTACTTAGAAATAAATCTATATTTTACCAAGATTGGTTAGAGAACAGAATATGGTCTGTAATGCATTTGTTAGAGAACACTGGAAATATTATACCCTTTGCAGAATTCTGTTCCAAATTTAATCTTAATGACAGAAGGCAATACGATAATGTAATCAAAGCAATTCCTCAATCTATAATTATAATGTCCAATAACTTGCATCAAAGTAATATTAACCCAAATCTTCCTTCACTTTAGGTGAATAGTCATAATCTCAATAGCTTAAAGTTGCCATGTCACTATCCGGCAAACCTTTATTAATGAGTTATATCCATTCTCAACAAACAGAAACTCAATTCTACAATTATTCTCTAAAAAGGAAGCTGAGAATTTAAGGTCCAAATTCTTTAAGTATCCAATTGCACCGAAATAAAGGAAGTTCACTTTGAAATTCTTAATGGAATACACCCTTCTGCTGAATTTTTATGATGTCGTTTTGGTTTAGAGCATAACAACTGCTCATTCTGTAATGATGAAATAGAAACTACGGAACATTTATTTTATGATTGTAAATGTATTAATGTCTTTTGGGAAGATTTACATGACTGGTTATTCCCTAAATGTGTCAATTTCTCTAATTTAACAAAAGAGAATATTTTATATGGTATGCCTGTTAAAGATCCAACACATGACCTTGGAATTAATACATCATCCTTGCAAAATTCTTTATACATAAGAAAAAAAATCATGAAAACAAAACCCCAAATATATGTTTTTCATAAGGAGTTATGCCATTATTTTTCATCTCTAAAATGCATGAAGAAAAATACAGGTTGGCTGCTGTGAAGCTTTATAATTAAGTAGAGGAGCTTAATCTCACAGAGTTCCCCTAGTTCTCTCACTTTATTTCCTTTTTTTTTTTTTTTTAAATTCACTTATGTATTTATTTTCTTTATTTTCATTATTTGTGTAAACTTGGCTTGTCTGTAGCTTCTATAATTGTATAAGACACTGTACTGTGCCAAACTGTTTCGTACATTTGTCAATAAAAAAATAAAACAAAAAAACTTACACAGGTGAGCCAGTGGGACAAATCCGGTGAACACAGCTACCAATGTGAGCGATCACCTCGTCCACTTCCTCTGCCGAGCCCAGCCGGAGATTCCATGGACCGCGCTCGTACTCCAACAGCAGCTGCAGGGGGGCGACACAAACAAGGCAACATGAAACAAATGAGTCAAAATCCTGCCGAGGTGATAAAATGAATCCATGCTGTCATCATGATTCCCCGAAACAGGCTAAGCAGGTGAGTACAGCTAAGACCAGTTATCCTCATTGGAACAACATGTGTTTAAAGAATTAATCAATAAATCTTTAATGCTGGGATAATTCCCGAAACGTGGTGGTAAAAGACATCAGTGATTCTTGTGTGTGTATGTGTGTGTGTAGCTTTTAAGCTGTGGTCCAGGTGTGGTCAGGTGTGTCATCACTGTACTGCACAGTAAGTGTTGCACTATTGTCAGTGTGTACCTGAGTGGGCTTGTTGCTGCTGATTCCCTGGATATCCAGGAAGCTGAAGGAGTGTTCAACCTGAAATAAAAAAGGAGGAGACAGATTGTGAAATTAAACAGTATTATCAACCTCTTTTATTTCGACATCACATCCGTAGAGACATCAAATAAGGCAACATGTTGAGTTTTTATGAAAAACACAAAAACAGAATGTTGCCTTATTTTTTCATTTAACAAGTCAACTTATAAATGGAAACTTTTTTGTCCCAAAGGAAAATGTGTTCTCCACATTGTGAACACTTCTCAGGAAAAACCTAAACTGGTTCACTTCCTGAGAACTGGAGAATTTTCCCAGGAAATGTTTACTGGCCACAGACAGTGTGTGTGAGTCAAATCTTTCATTTACTGGACGCAGAGAGATTTCAGGTCATGCACACACACTCTTTGGGTTAATGGCTTTTAATGTCTGAAGTTTGGTTTCATATAAAAATACTCAAATTTTAACAATGTGGGAACACTTTTTCCCCCACATGGAGACAAATCCACCTGTCACCTCACCTACATGTTGAGCTTCTAAGCCACAATATTTGTATTTGGGGGTTCACGCCTTCATTTTACAGATGAAAGTGTAGATGGAGGACAGAAAATCAAATAAAAGGGAGAAGAGGGAAGGATGACATGAGTTTCAAAGTATTTGACTGCACAGCTGTATTTTGGAACAACTGAATTCAACAGAGAACTGCTTGAGGTCACAGCCAGCTGTTACTGTTTTGTTAGCACATCTGGTCGTCCACGATATCTAACATTCTATATATCCAAGTGTACGTGGACACATACATTTGTGTATTTTTTATTTTTCATTGCCTGGGCCCCTCAGCTCCAGTGAAGGGAAAGCTTTAAGGAATATTTAATTTTTTTTGAGGCAGGGTTGTATGAGGTACTTATCCACAGTCAGTGTATTTCCTACAGTGGGTGTCAGTCAGCATGCCCCCAGTTTGGAGAAGCAGACTGAAGTACCACCTAGGAAGATAAAGCAATGTGCTGCTGTGCTGTGAATGGGGTCAGCCAGGGGCGATTCTAGGATCAGAGGTTTAGGGGTGCTGAGCACCCAGAGAGCTGCCCGGCCAGCCAAGATAAATTTCACTGTTTTGTACATTTTAATGCAATTTCATTCCCACATTTGTGAAAGAAAAGCACAACACTTTTTGGGAAAGTCTGTGACTACACCATCAAATCTGATAAAGGTTATTTAAATGCTGAGCCACAGCAAAAGAGGAATGGATTGGAATCATAAAAGAAACATATCGTAACCCTAATTTCTGGGGGAAGACAACTCATTTTGATACAGCAGCTCCTCAACATACACATAAACAGTATGTATGTTTCTGGAGTAAACCAGCCCCCTATAGTGAGTACCAAAAATACCAAAAATGGACCTTGGACTAATTTTTTGGACTTTTATTTGAAATGCAATGCACAACATGTAACATTAACACATTAACAGTAATTGACTTTTTCAGTGTTTCTCTGCCTTTTTCCTTCTTGTCTGTATTATATAATACAAATACGTAAATAAAAATTCACTTCAAAAAAGATGGTTTTGACATTTTTCTAGCTTGTTAAAAAGGGATATACAGTAAAAAAATTATTTAAAAAAACCCTCAAATTTTAGGGGTGCTGGGATTCAATTTAGCCCAAAAATGGGCTAGAAACGCCTACGGGGTCAGCTATAAAATAAAATTTAGCCACCTAAAAAAAAAAAAACCCATATCAATTTAAGTGTATGATACAGTTACCTTGTTTTCACTGCTTTACCTTTATGTCAGGCAGCCCTTTCTGATGGGGGAATGAAAGTCGTTATATTGACCTTTTTAAAACCACCAGTCTCTATTGACAAAAACAGTAATTTTACTTCCCAGAACACAGGAGTTGCTGATCTAATGCTGCCTTGATCAGTTAGTTAGTTAGTGCTATTATGTGAAATCAGTGAATCTGTACAAACCCTTTCAAACACCAAAGTCACACCATTACACAAACTAACTGATCATAGCGGCAGACCTGCAGCTCCTGTGTTCAGCGATAATAAATTGCTGTTTTCCTCAAAGGAGTCTGGCTTCCTGGGGCAGCTGTGGCTCAGAGGTAGAGTGGGTTGTCCACTAATTGGAGGATCAGCAGTTCAATCCCCGGCTCCTTCAGTCTGCATGTCGAATTATTCTTGAGCAAGATACTGAACCCCAAATTGCTCCTGATGGCTGTTTCATCTGTGTGTGAGTAGTAAGTGGCACCTTGTATGGTAGCCTCGGCCACCAGTGTATGAATGTGTGTGTGAATGGGTGAATGTGACTTGTAGTGTAAAAAGCGCTTTGAGAAGACTAGAAGACTCAGAAGACTAGAAAGGCGCTATACAAGTGTAGGTCCATCCATATACCATTACTTTCAAGAGAGCGATATAACATCTTTTGATACTCATTGGAAATCACTGTCTGATGGTAAGGTAAAGTGGTGAAAATATTCTAGATATTGCATACACATAAACTCATATTCATCTTTTTAGGTGCCTCAAATACATTTTGCTGCTCCTCCGTCCACAGAAGTACACTGCTAAGCTTGCGTGGTGGTACCCCTGTCGGTTTCTCCAAACTGGGGACGTGCTGACTGACATCTACTGTACGTATCCTTTAATGCTACAGCATATAGGATGTTTAAGACAATAGTTTGCTTCCAACATTGTAGAAACAGTGTTTTGCCTTTTCGTGTTTCAACATAACATCACGCCTGTGCACAAAACCAGCTCCATGAAGAAATAGTTTTCTCAGTTTGGTGTGGAAGAACTTGACTGGTTTGCTAAAAGCCCTGATCTCAACCCCATGTACCGCCTTTGGGACGAGCTGGACTGTGAGACAGAAATGATCACACAACATCAGAGTGGACCTCAGTGATGCTCTTGTGACTATGGGAACTAATCTCTGCATCAGGTTCAACATGTGGTGGAAAGACTGAGTGGAGGCTGTAAATGACCATGGTTTTTTTCACATATGGCTGGATTGCTGAGGTATCCACATACTTTTGGTCTGGTTTTATATTATCAAGCAAATAACAGTAAAGCCTCTCTCCCACCAGACAAAACAAAACAAAACAAAAAAACCCCCCACAAAAACAAAAACAGAAAAAGCACCCACTAAAATCTGCCATTTGTCTTTAGTGGAAAAAGTTACAATTTTCACTAATTCCCGGGACAAAGTGCTCTGCAGAAGTCGCAGGTATGTATCTGCTCCAGCTGTGTTCAGCAGTAATGGAAATACGACAAAGTAATTTTTACATTTAGATGTATGGTCTAAAGATACCGTCTGTCTCCGTCTAAGCAGTGCTCAAACATCTTTCCAAATTTCTTGGCACTGAGTTAAAAAGAGAGACTGAATGAATGAGAGATATGAAAAAGAAGAAACCATTGTACCATTTTCACTGGCCTCCATGCTGCTTTCTACTGTTTACTTACCAGTTTTCTGGGGCGTCCATGATGCCCAACATGACATACCAATAAATTAAAAAAAAAAAAAAACAACAGAAAGGCCTACTCATCTAATGCGGAGCTATGTACATAGCCGAATCTCTGGCATTAGAGTGGGGCAGGGATGTTGCTTTTCTATAGATGATGAAGTTAGCATCACCTTGGTTTCCTCGTCAAAAAACCTGCAGGGTTTTTCCACTAGATTTTGAATTATTGTAGAAAATAAGCTCTGTGGCAAACAAAAGTTTATGATACTTACACATTTTGTTCAGCAAGATAATCTTCACAAATGAACACCCCTTGATGATTTTTGAAGCCTAAAAGCAATCACCAGAGGTAAAGAGCTAGCATTAAGGAATAAACGAACTCTACTAAGATCGCATGACTTTAGTGTTGCCACCACATCAAGACTGTGAATGACAACTTGTTGCAATGACCTTTTTTGAGACACATAAAAGCTGCAAAAATTACAGTGGGGTATTTACTGACATATTTTATGTTGTAGAGCGTTTCCAGCATTTAGGACCCATTCCTGCACCACTCTATGAGGAAGGAGTCTATCGCCTTTTTTTTAGTACGTGTTTAAATCAGAGGAAAATCTAACCAGTTACACGCTAACATTAGCTAACTCTAACCATCATCAGCTACAGGTTACACCAGACCAGATCATGTATAGAAAGTCTCTCTATCTACCCTGGAATGCACAGTTGCACTTTCTAAATCATCCACCTGCCTTTCAGATTGCATCCCCACCCGGTTTTTAAAAGCTGTGTTTCAGATGGTTGGTCCAGATATTTTAGCAATCATCAACTGCTCTGTCTTCTGGGACTTTTCCCTCCTATTTTAAACATACCATTGTTTACCGTCTTTTAAAGAAGCCTTCTCTTTAGGCCTTTTCCCAAACTGCCATTTTTAGCTCAGATTTTAGACAAAATTGTGTCCACTCAGCTGATTTCTTTTATGAATGACAATCACAATTTTGAAAAACTGAGACGGCTCTGGTCAGGATTTCAAATGATTTGCTGCTTGCAGCAGACTTTGGACTATACTCCATTTTAATTCTTCTTGACCTTAGCTCAGCCTTTGATACTATGGATCACAATGTTTTGATCAGCCGTTTAAGAAACAGTGTGGGCATCAGTGATGTGGCGCTGGACTGGTTTATTTCATATCTGTCTAATAGGTCATTTTCCGTAATGCTAGGAGATGCTTCCTCCTCCTGTGCTCCTCTCTTTTGTGGTGTGCCCCAAGGGTCTGTCTTGGGTCCCCTCTTGTTTACTTTATAGATACTACCCCTGGGGCAAATCCTTCGTAGATTTGACACCGATTTTCACTACTACGCAGATGACACCTAAATGTATGTCCCTCTGATACCTGGTACCACAGATGTTTCACGTATTTTATCCTGCCTGACTGAAATTAAAAATTGGATGTCCAAAAATTTTCTACAGCTGAATGACTCCAAATCAGAAGTGATCATAATTACTCCTTCTGACCCCAACACTGCTAGTGTAAATAAGCTCTCCTCTAGTCTGGGTGCCCTATCTAATAATGTCTGCAATGAGGCCCGCAACCTAGGAGTTATTTTTGATGCTGAACTATCTTTTGATGCTCAGGTGACTAAAGTGATGCAGTCCTGCTTCGCACAACTAAGACATCTTACAAAAATCAGGTCATTCCTTTCTCCCACTGACTTAGAAAAGATCATCCATGTTTTCATCACGTCCAGACTCGATTATTGCAATGCACTTTATTCCAGGATCAGCAAGCGCAACATTCAAATACTACAACTGATACAAAACGCTGCTGCCAGGCTCTTAACTCGTAGCAAGAGAAGAGATCACTTCATCACACCAGTCCTTGCTGCCCTTCACTGGTTACCTGTGAGTTTTAGAACTGATTTTAAGATTTTAATGCTTGTTTTTAAAGCCTTGAATGGTCAGGCAGGCTCCTGCCTATATATGTGACCTACTTACTCCTTACGAGCCCTACTCATGGTTCCAAAGTCAAGACTTGTCACTAAAGGTGACCGAGCTCTTGCCACTCAGGCCCCTAAGCTGTGGAACTCCCTGCCTGGAGATCTCAGGCAGACAAAGTCACTGTCCTCTTTTAAATCACTTCTTAAGACTCACTTTTATCGTATGGCTTTTTCTTAATTCCTTGGTACTGTTATTTTAATCTACTTTAATATGTGTTTTGATGTTTGGGATCTTTTATTTGTTTTTATTTGTTTAATTGTTTTTATTGTTTTTGTTTGTATTGTAAAGCACTTTGTAACTTTATACAAATAGTTATTATTATGTGTAGAAACGAATTAACAAACATTTAATTGCTTATGAATTAAACTTTTTGTACTGTAAGAGGACATGCATCATGTCTTCTTTAAGAAGTTACATTATCTTAGTTTAACATCAATGTCTTTGATAAAGAAGCCTGCTGACAGCTAGACTGAGCTTACTCTTGTCAAGTTACAACTTGTGTTGGAGTTTTGCGGTCGAGATGAGAGCTTAAGAGGAGACAGTTCACTGTGTCGCAATGACCACAGTATGGAAACGTCTTCCTTAACAGAGCAATCACCCCTGTTACACTCCACCCCTCCATACCATTTCTGTCTTTTTCAGGGGGGGACAGGGGATCTTTATGGGGAGACAGCAGGTCAGGATTAGATGCCACATAAGTGATACACATCATCTGGAAGTTGGAACCTGAAGATTAATTAGAGATTAAGCTCAGCATTGTGTGTCCAGTTTTTCTAGTCAGAAATATGTAATAAACACGGTTTTGGTTGGGCACCTATTCAAACTTTTAGAGTGTAAAGGAGCTTAGAACATTATGATGGAAGAATATGATGGCAATTCCATGCTCATTTATGTCTCATAGGTTGTTGCAGCAATGTTTGGGTTGATACCATTTATTACACAGCACAGCACACACAGATCCATATTCAAGGATATGCCTCCCCAGACCATCACTGACCCACCGCCAAAGCGGTCATGCTGGAGGATGTTACAGGCAGCATAACGTTCTCCATGGCGTCTCCAGACTGTGTCACGTCTGTCACATGTGCTCAGTGTGAACCTGCTCTCATCTGTGAAGACAACAGGGCACCAGTGACGAATCTGCCAATTCTGGTCTTCTCTTGCAAATGTCAATCGGGCTGCACGGTGCCAGGGTGTGAACACACTTGTGGACGCCAGGCCCTCATGCCACCCTCATGGAGTCTGTTTCTGACAGTAAGGGCAGAAACATGCACACCAGTGGCCTGCTGGAGGTCATTTTGGAGGGCTCTGGCAGTGCTCCTTGCAGTGACTCCTTACTGTTCCTCCTTGCACAAAGCAGACAGTGGTCCTGCTGCTGGGTTGATGCCCTCCTACGGCCCCCTCCACCTCTCCTGGTGTACTGGCCTGTCTCCTGGTATCTCCTCCATGCTCTTGACACTGTGCTGGGAGACACAGCAAACCCTCGGGCCACTGTGCGTATGGATGTGCCATCCTGGAGTAGCTGCACTACCTGAGCATCTTCTGACGGCTGCAGATACCACCTCATGATACCACTAGTGGTGAGGCCACTGGAAAAATGCAAAACTAGCCAAGAATCAACCAGAAAGGATGCAGAGAGGGAAATGGTCTGTGGCCATCACCTGCAAAACCATTCCTAGATAGGGGTTGTCTTGGTAATTGCCTCTCCTTTCCTCCTATTGTCTGTCCAATTTGCACAACAAGTGAAATTGCTTCACAATCAGTATTGCTTCCTAACTGGACAGGTTGATATCCCAGGAGTTTGACTGACTTTGAGTTACACTGTGATGATTGTGTGTTCCCTTTATTTTTTTGAGCAGTGTACTTATGGAAGGCAAACATCCTCTGAATGCTTGAGGTCTCTTGTTTGTGGCTGTTAAGCTTCATGAGGCTGTGGTTATCTTAGAGGTCACTATAGGTCATTTTATACAGTAAGGCCAAGTTTCAAAAAAAAGGTTTCACTATAATGAAATAGCTACTATGGGAGCTAACATCATCACATATGAATAAAACTGGACTTATTTAATCCGCAAGAGTCTAGGCTTTACAGTCAGGCACAACTGATGCAATTCCTTGACTGTGTAGGGAGTCCAGTATACAGAAATATTCAAATACAATAGCTGAAAATAACACATTTGTACTGCATGAGAAACAACAGTATGGGGCTAGCATAAAGTGGGCATGCCTATAAAGGGGAGACTCACTGGTACATGTAGATCCCATTTTTATTCAGATATCTTGAGTTGAGCGGTCAAGGGACCCTTGTGAAAATGGCCATACCAGTTTTTCCCTCACCCAAATGTAGCCTAACTTTGTAGAGTTATTTAACCCCTTAACAACATGCTAGTATGATGTGGTTGGTGCCAGTGGATTCTTACATCTAAATGCCCAGACACACCAAACCGACATGAAATTACTAGTGGTGATGAAAGCTGACTGTTGCGTCACCTCATGTTGCCTGTGCCTTGGCCAAAAAGTAGCACATGAACACACCAAAAAGACCACAGCCAATCAGTACATATGTTCTGCACCTGCGTGAGAGGAAATAACTCTCCACACCAGCAGACAGCAGTCGTTTGTATTTGTCATTCAAAAAGGAAAACCGGAAGACCGATATGATGCTAGCCAGTCAGCACATTAACAACACAATCCAATGTTGAAAGAAGAGAGCATATTTGCACCAGTGAACAACAACACAAACCATCAGGAAACATTTCTGTTAAAGAGCTCAATGACTAAAGAAAAATAATCTTATCTTATGTAAGAATTTGTTTTGGTCTTACTCCCTTTTGGCTTTAGCTGTTTGTTTACTTTCCTTACTTCCCATTCTCTTTTCATGCTCTGAGCTGAACTGACCATCAGAGTGATTTCATACATTAACAGGCTCTACTGTCATTGATTCAACATGCTGAATCGGCTTAAAAAAGCCAACAACAGATGATGAGGGCCAACGGTGCTGGACACACCGCAAAGACTAGGGAGACAGGTGCTCACCTACAGCCCAACGTTAACTGATAACCCACTGTTGGCTTGGTGTGTCAGGGCCTCAAGGAATTCACTCTAGCTCTATCCACTACAGCCTCTGAAAGACCATATTATTAGCCGAAGACACCAGAATCCTCATGGAGTGAACGTGGTCAAAAGCTTTAATGAATGGATTTTACTCAGTGTGTTTATGTAGATGGCCATAAATTTGTTTTCTATTTCTATAAATGGTTTGGTTAAAGACATTCCAGCAAAATGCTGGAATACAAATCATTTATATGTAGATGACACTGTCATTTACATGCATGCTCCCTTCATAGTGCAGAGCTTCAGACTGTACATCAGTCATTACAAACCGCTCTGCTGGGATTAAAACTGTTTTTAAATGCTCAGAAAACAAAGTTCATGGTGTTCTCAAAAGCTCGCTCCCAGCTGCATGACGATTTTAGCATTTTCACTTCTGATGGTAAATCCATTGAAAGAGTGTCCTCATACAAGTACTTGGGTATATGGATAGATGACAAGCTTTCAATTAATGTACATATTGCTGCTCTAGTTAGGAAGCTTAAAGTGAAGATCGACTTTTATTTTATTAATAAGTCTTGTTTGACTTTCAGTGCTGAGAAAACAAATTGTGGAAGCTACTTTTCTGTCTGTGATTGACTACGGTGACATACTGTATATGCATGCAACCTCCTCCATTTTACATAGCCTTGTTTCAGTTTACCATGCATCTCTGATTTTATTAAAAATGCAGAGTCCCTTACTCATCACTGCACTTCTGTACCCTTCTGTGTGTCAGTTACCAGCTATGCTTCTCCAAATGGTTGCTTTTTAATGTCCCCTGGGTTTTAACAGATCTGGGCAAAATTGCTTTCTCCTATTCTGCACCATGGACATGGAACAATCTTCAAAAAGATCTAAAATTAGAAACACGGGTTCTGTGACAACACACACATAGTTGTTGTTTTGTGGTGGATTTTGTATTATATGTTATATTTGTTGCATTTTAAATGTGTTTTGATTGGCTGCTGCCTCGGCTAGGTAAGTAAGTAAGTATGTAAAGTTTATTTATATAGCACCTTTCACAGATACAAAATCACATAGTGATTTACATTAAAAGCAAAAACACAGCTTAAAAGTATAAAATTAAAAATAGTAATAACAATCATACAATATAAATAGCAAGACCAACAGGCAAGTATAAAAACGATCACAAAAGAAACAAAAAGTCTCTCTTGTAAAAGAGATTTTCAGTCTCAATGGTACTTCCTGGTTAAATAAAGGTTAAAAAAATAAATAAAATAAAAATTCATTCTAATAATTTCATTATACAATTATCAATAATGCTTCAAAAAGAAATCTGTCCATGGCTCTTCCACATCAAAGGTTGTGAGCAGATGTGTGATTTACATGTTCATTAAATGAACCAGTAGCAGAGACATTGATATGAAGCTGGACGTTATTACACCAAGAACTTGGACAAACCCCGGGGACAGGAAACAAAACACAAACAATAGGAATGTGAAAACAACAGCTAACAAATACTCTGCTGAACAAACGTCTAGAGCACAGAGTCACAACCTCACACAGAGTTTCCTTTGAATCCAGGGAGAGAAAGTAAAAATAACCAACTTATTAACTCACTGCCAACAAAAGTACAAGTGAAAGGGAGGAGAAAGGGAGACAAATAAAGACAGGAAGATGCGGAGACGGAGGAACAGAGAGGAGTTATTAAAAAGAAATTGAAAGATGGAAAAAAAACAAGGAGTGAATAAAAGAAAGAAAAGAGAAACAATGTAGGAGCATGATGATGAACAGATAGAAGAGACAGAATAAGAAAGAGACCACAAAAGTGGGATAAAGAGGAGAGATAGGAGGGAGGTAAGCATGAGTTCGGACTTTATCTACAGAAACAGAAACAGAGAGAGGATGACGGGCAGAGAGACACAGTGCCCCCTCCCCTCCCTTCCTTGCCAGCTGTTAAATTCCACCATTGTCTTTTTTTCTCCCTCTGCTGCCGGGACAGTCCACACTGAGGAACAAACCACCCTCTGTTTCTCACACACATACACACACACACACACACACACACACACACAGAGTTAGAAAAACCACCGGCCCACTCTGGAACAACAGATCAGGGGTTAGCTGCCAGAGGGAAGTCACTGGATTTTATCTAGAGGTTATTTAATTTATTTCATGCACGAATAATGCTGCGGTTTTTAAACTGTATTCAATATGTGCATATATTGTCCAACATTTTTAAAGACCAAGCTAACACGTAAAAAACTAGAATTGCCATCCCTGCCGCTGTATGCCTCCGCACACCAGTCAAGTTTCTCTTACAATTTACATCCATGTCTGTGAAAACATGAACGCTTCACACACAGAAGAGAAGCAGATTAGTGTCACCAATGCAGTATCTGACCAAATGTGTCCCCTTCTGTTCTTGAGATTTGATGTTGAATAATGCATAGAGAGGTGTTTTATGCAGAACATTATGATGTCACAGTGAAGTTGACCTTTTGGATATAAATTGTCAGCACTTTATCATTTTATCCTGTTAGACATTTGCATGAATTTTTGTTATAATAAGCATATGTATTTGTGAGTAGTGGCTAAAAACATATTTTGTGAGGTCACTGTGACCTTGACCTTTGACCACACAATTCTCAATTTCAATCTCAATTCAGTTTATTCTTCAGTCCAACTGGACAGTTGTGTCAAATTTAAAGAAATTCCCTTATGGCATTCTTGAGATATCGCATTCACAATAATGAGACAGACAAGGTTACTATGCCATTGACCTTTGACCACCAACATCTGATCAGTTTAAGAAGAGATGAGAGCTTAATTCAGGTGTTCTTGACATCGCATTCAAAAAAATGAGATGGATGCATTACGGATGGATGACCTTGACCTTTGACTACTTAAATATAAAATCTAGATTTTGGCTTCCCACAATTAAATGAACGTAACTGATTGTGATGTTGACATTTAAAATGTGAAGTAGAATAGAAACTCCACTGCATATCAACCAAAGAGCGTCCTAATCTAACAGCCATGGCAGCTGTCATGAGCCCAGCAGCAACCTGTGAAAAACTTTCCTGAATGTTGCAGCTGCAGTCCAGAAAAAAATGATGTATATACAACAGAGAGCAGACGATAATTGATGTCTAGAGCAGAAAGTGAAAAGCTAGTCCCTCTGTATGGATTATTATCTGCTGTTTGGAAATATTTTGGATCTAGAGTGCAAGAGACTTGTGTCTGTGCAACCAAGCAACACAACTAATTTGTTAAACCAACTGATAAAAAACACAACACAAACTGGACAACGATTGAGGCATTAAGGCCAAGAGGACATATGTCCTCCATGCCAGCAATGCTGTACAGGGCATCACTGTATCCATCCAGTGAATTCAGGTGAAGAAGAGCCCTATTTTAAGTCTTATTTTGCTGCAAATATTTGTCAGTTAGCAGGAATGTAGCACAACATGGAAGTGAAAGCAGTGCTCTGTTGATTTAAATGTAAAAGTGAAG